TACGAATAGGGTACAAGCAGCGATCTTCTCGTCGTCCCATCAATCAAACATCGTACCAAGGTTCTACTGCACAGTAGCCCCAGGATCAAAATGATGCTTTACACATCATGGATTGCTAAAGCAATAGTTATTTTATGTCTGATATGGCTGATTGCTTTCCCACTCTTTGGAGGGGGGGCGTGGGGAAAAGGGCTGTTTGCATCATGGGCGAGTGAATCGTTTCTCCAAGACAAGAAGGSTGGAGTACCGATCCTTATGCTGACCTTTCCGATCCTGATAGCTGGGTCCGTAGCGTCGCTATTTTCCACCTCCRCTAGACAAAGTGATCGTCAACAAAATCTTCAAGGGATATGTGGTCGTTTCCGCTCCTCTTGGTCTACCATTCACAAACGACTAAGACTTCCGGACCAACAATCGGTTTYGATAGGTTTGATTGTCTTCTTCCCGTGCTTTGTGTACGTCATTTCATCGATGGGACGAAAAATCAGTCTAGATATGTCAGTGGATACGGCATTGTCAAAGTCGGGCAATATATTYGGAATGCTAGCAGTGGTTGTGCTTTCGTGGCAATGGATTCCTGTTTCGCGCAAGGGGCCGATCGGGAAGTTGTTTGCGTGGGATTCGATAAAAGTAGTCAACTATCACATGTGGGGTGGGAGAATCATCATAGTCGCTAGTATAATACATGCAACGGAGCACTCTCTCCGTTATGCTCTTCAAGGAAAAGATGTATGGAAGGCGTTTTTCTTCCCTCCGATCGGCTGCTGGAAAAACCCTCAGACTTACAAACCAGAAATTTGTGACCGCGCCGAAGAAAGTGAAGAAGGCTGCTCGTGTTACGATCATTTTCTTCCAATCACAGGACTTACAGCTCTTTTAGGCTTGATGCTGATCGGTTTTTCTTCAAGGGAGAAGATACGGCGACACTATTTTGCTACTTTTGCCACKCTACACTATACATTGACTCCTCTTACTTTTCTAGCAATCTGCATACATTACAACAAAGCAATCCTCTATGCTTCGGGATCGTTGCTGTACTACCTGGCGTCGAATTTTCCAAGTTGGGTTGAATTGCTTCTTAAACGTGCACGGCCATATGGTCGGGAATCCAATATCAAGGTATTGACTATTGAAAAGTTGCAATCGGATGGTGACTCGAACAAGAATAACGACAATTTACTAAGGCGTCCATGCATCGCCTTGACAATCGAAGCGTCAGAGGCAACCGTTCAACAGTGTTTACCGGGTGCCTTTATTTATGTTTTGGTTCCCAGCATTTCGAAGGTTTCCCATCCTTTCACTGTCAATCGCGTCCTGAGGAAAACGAATCAAATACGAGTTATATTTCGCGTGACAGGCCCGTTCACCAGAGCACTTGAAAACGCGTTGTTCTCTCTGTCTACAAAAATGACTGAGACAACTGCACCACTCATCACAGGTGATCAAAGTGATGAAAGCGGGTCTGAAGAAGAAGTTCTAAATGTTTATTCGTGTGCCGAAAAAAATTCGGCAACTACATTTCCACGACTTTATCTTGATGGGTACTATGGATCTGGAAGTATTTTGAACCAAATTTCGAGCCATAATAGATGTGTCTTGGTGGCAGCAGGAATTGGTATCACACCATACTTAAGCTTGTTTCTGGACCTCAAATCTTCTACTTCCAGTGGTGAAATGGATGGCTTGATGCTTCGATCAAATCAACTTGGTGCATCACAACAACCGAAAGTGATCATTTTGCACTGGATCTGTAGAGATCCATCGCTCATAAATTACTGTCGAAAGGAATACATGRATTTTCTAACCGACCCTGATTTTCAAAAAAAAAATGGTCACGGCCAAAATTCGATAAGAGTTATCATTCACCATACCGGAAAAGATGATGTCATACATGAAGAATCCGCGAGACCAATCACCACMAATCTTTCACGAAGCAATGCTATCGAGACATCGCATCACGGAGGAATTCCCTTCGAACTTTCAAGCTTTTCCGTCTCAATCGGCATGCTGGACTGTGTGAGAAACTTCCTSGTCTTTTCAATCATTTCCTGGGGAGGTCTCGTGTGCCTCTGGAGGTGGTTCGGCATGCAGAAAAAGGACGCATATATCAATCGGATATATACGTTAGTTATTGTAGCACTATACGGGCTGATAGTTGCATTACTTGCCAACTTTTTGGGGTATCTATCTGAAAGAAGATCCCGCAACTATGCAGGGTATACCGCGGACTTGAGTGAAGACGAAAACGAGTACTTGGGRAAATCCAGTGATGTAGAATTATCAACCTTTCGAGATGCAAACGATTCTTCTCCTCCTAATTCCCTTGACGACGTTCCTAATGAAGATTCAGCTCGTACTCCTTCAGTAAATTTCGAGATGTTTCGCGGACGGCCAAACGTTGAAAGTATTCTACAAGATTTGGATGGCGCAATGAGTCCAGCTTTGTTTTGCTGTGTCCCCGATAACCTGGCAAAACTTCTGAGGGACGGGTTGAATCGAAATTCAAGAGCTGGTGGCATGCTGATGCAGAATGTTTCAGTATACCAAGAATCGTTTGAAATYTAAAGAKGATCAAGRGTCCTCAGGCGAGTCCCAACTCATTTCACCTGTTACTTCGTTCCAATAAAATGCATCTTCGGGAGATTCAGGGTCCTCTACRAGCACCCAGTCGGAGTTTTTCGTGGTTTCCAAGTTTGTGCTCTGATCGTTCTTTCCATAATCATCTTGGAGGTTTTCTTGATTTTTCGTCGTTCCGACGTCTTGTTTCGATTCCGACAAGTCGGTTGAATTGTTTGCTCTTTCGAGATTGTCTAAGTCTCTGTTTTGCAAAACATCTTGACGTTCGGTCATTTTTTGTACCTCTTTCGATTCTGAAGTAATAGACCAGCTAGAATTGCTTTCATCCTGATAAAATTTAGCAATTTTCTTAGCCCTCTCTCTCCTAGTAMGTTCAATGAATCTTCTGCGATCGATTCTTTCTTCTCTCGAAGCAAAGAATATGTTTCTWTCAGACATGGACTGTTGTTTGTAGGCCTCTGATACACTTATTCGTTCGTATCTTTTCCTTTGGCCGTCACTCCTAGAATTTTGAGCTTCCTTTTCCTCTCGTTCTTCTTCTTCTAGTTGTCGCAATTTTTCGTCCAGCAGCTCATCCAAAGCGTCAGACTCTTGCTGCTGTTGCTCAAAGTATTCYTGATTCCAAAATGCTCTTGCCTTTTCTGGATCAAGAAGGACTTCTTTCTCGAATTTGTTCGTAGTGGCTTCTTCGGCTTCGAATTCTGCCATGATCCGACGATGTAACTCCTCCTGTACATCTGGGTTGTCCCTCGCGTATTCAATACTCCGCGATGCTTCCCGGGCCAGGTCTTCGATAGTGAAACGYTTCGAATTTWTAGAACCCTTGATRTCCTGCGCGTAGGGTGCCATCGGAGGGCCCTCGTCCACAAATGAACTTTTGAGCGGCTTCTGAACATCCGAATTGCCATACTTCCTGTCACTATCGAAGTTGATGGATCCGTCGGAATTACTTGTTTCACAAGCTTTTTGGTATGCTTCGGCTGATAGATATACTCCACCATCGTCAGTWATTTCATAACCGGGCTTTTCTTTCTTGTAGCTCTTTGGGGTGTCATTCAGACCGAGGTTGTCACCTAACTTGGTATCACTAGAGTCGTCACTGCCCTTTTTAGCAGAGGCCTTCTTATTTGAAGTAGTAGAACCAGCTGCCTCGGATCTTAATGCGTCTAGAATTGCAGCCTCATCTAACACCGACACTTCTTCGTTTCCTTCTTCATTAGGTTCCAGAGGACGAGGAGTCGATTTCTTYTCAGCTGCCTCCAACTGYAGTTGATACTCCAGTTCCTCCCATTCCGCTAGAGTCTCGTCATCTAGACGTTTTGCGTTAGGCTCCAATTCAGGCGGTGGCAAATTTGTGCCAGCATTGGTGTCCACATCGGTATCTTGTTGGATCTGCCGCAGTCTTTCCTCAAGACCAGYCATATTAGAAACCATTCTCGCCTTACTCGAATTGGCATTGACATCGCTCCCGGAAGAAGATTGTTCCATCTTAGACAGTCTTTCTTCGGCTTTTCGAACGATATCCAAGTATCGATCGCTAATACTAGCTTCTGCTGCTATTTTCTTTGCCAGTTCGTCGCTTCTCGAGTTCTGGTTGTTTTTGTCCAATCTGGGAGCGAATCCATCGCTCACCCCGTCTGGTCCAAAGTCATAATCCTTGCTTGGTTCCTTGTTTCGATTTTGAATTTGTAGCAATTTTTGTTGGAGGTCGGAAAGGTTGGATATTGAACCGCTTTCCTTTCCAATACTTTCGGATACGCTTTCGCTTCCAAAGCGCCCATCAAGCATTGATTCGTCCCAAGGTTTGGCTACTTCTACTTTTYYCCCCTTGTTGGATGGCATCGTCGACGGCTGAGGAAGGGCACCTTGTTGTTCCAGCTGCTTTTCTTTGCTCCGCTTGATTTTCTCCGTGAYGGAAAGGCCATCGTCAATATTCTCGGGGGAATGATRCGAACTTTCGTGCTGTTGGTAATATTCTTCTTCCAGATCCACGCCATCGTAGTCGTTGTTGTCGCTCATGCGACGGGAAGAGCCCATCGTAAATCTGCTTCGCGTGGGACAGCTTTTGCCGTTCTTTCCGCGATGCACATGGAGAGGATTCTTCCATGGTGGTACAAGTCCGGCATGATTTATGTTTTCGGTGGYAATTGCCGTTGAAGTATGTGACTTTCTTTTAATCGAAAACAACAACGGTGCTGCTATCCACGCCCCGACTGTCCTGACTGCAATCGACGAAGAAGAAATAAGGTATGCTAGCAACAAATTMGCCGATTTCATACTATTTCAAACTTTCCTAGCTGAGAACAATAAATCTTATACTTTTCTCACGGCATGATCAGCGACTTCGTCTCTGCTGTGCCATAAATATTCTAGGTCTATTTCGTTTATGACGATAATGATGTTTAGCGTCGAGAGTTCGAAAATAATAGTCTCAAAATTGGTCGGTCGTTTGTTTGCAGTTCTTACGAACCATAGACCCCTGCCATAAGATACGTACATACTCGTACCTGGTAGGGCTCAATAGACTTATTCGTTGTCCTGAGAATTTTACCAGTAGTTCCGATCGGCCCGACCTACCGTACCGGTACCAAATTTTTGCAACCCATTTCTCAAAACGGTCGTAGGAGTCAGCTGGTACTTAAAATACGTAGGATTTTACGTAGGCTATAACACGTCACTCTATCCCACTCCATTTACCACCGTACTTACAACTGCTACATGATTTGTGGTAGGGATCCTACACAGCAACCGTACTGGCTTTTATGTTATGGTCGCATCTGTACCTCTTTTGGTTGCTTAAGACAGACCAAATTATACTGAGACTGCAACAATTTTGCAACTCCCCCTCGCCTAGTCACGAGAGGTGCATTTTTTCATCATTTTTTCGTCACGAGAGGTGCAATTTTAGCTCACAAAATAATATTACGTCGTACGAGTACAAGCAAAACCCCAACAAGCAAGAATCAGCAAAGAAGCAACAAGCTGCTCGCATACGAGTACAAGCAAAACCCCAAGCAAAAGCAACAAAGAAGCAACGCTAGCTACTACCACTAGTAGTACTAATGGCAAGAACACCAAGAGGAGGGACGAATCGGCGTGTCCGGGCTCGGAAAAGAAGGGGTGGCGCTGTGACGCCTCCTCGTGATGTGAACCAGCCAGGACAGTGGAGGAGATATCATAAGGTTCTGCTAGAGTTAATGGATCATGTGCATGGACACAGCGAGGATGGAGACAACGATGATCGCTTCCCTAATGACAAGATGTTCACGCATGAGGAACTCAGCATTTTAACTCCAGACCACATCTACAGCTTCTTTGCCACAAAAGCCTTTGGAAGGCCTGATCCTGATGTGGATGATAATCCTACTCATGGTAGATCAACATCGCTAATCTACTACAAGAAGGCGATATCATACTTCATGCCAAACAAGCTGCACAAATGGACTGTGGTTGCTGGTGTTGGAAGTGGGAATCCTACCAAGTCCCAGGAAGTTAATGACCTGATTGCGGCTGTTATCAAGAAGGAAACGAGAGGACTTGGACAAGCGAGCAGCATGGATAGGCCTCTTACAAAGGATGAGTTTTTGCAAACACTAGAACTGATGGGAAATCATGGTACCATTACCAATCGACTGAGATACCTTGCCATGCTTAAGTTCCAGGTCCACTTGATAGGTCGGAATGATGATATGGCTCATGTTGGCAAAGATAGCTTGGAGAGATCAGCTGAATTTCCCCAGTTCCTTACAGCAAAGATGAAGTGGTCTAAGAATGTAAGGGAAGAACGCGATTGCCCAAGGCAGATACTACTTGGATCGATGGATCATAGGAGCTGTGTGGTGCTAGCACTTGCTTTATTCCTTGAAAAGTGGTGCAAAGATGGCGGAGCAGGAAGCCAATGGCTGTTCACTGAAGGAATTACTGATAGGAGGTCGCGAGCAAGGGATATTGAGAAAGAGGTGAATAAAGGAAAGACTGCTTACTCTAGATTTATTAAGCGCTATGTGTTTAATAATGAAGCCTTTGTTGCTGAAAGACCGGATTCAGAAGGCAAGCTGGGGACTCATTCATTTAGAAAGTTTGCCACCACATATGCAAGACAGTGTGGGGGAAGCAGGGACAATGTTGATTACAGGGCGCGTTGGAAGTCTAGAAGACAACAGGATCGATATACTGATACACAGCTTGCTTGGCCTGATATCGATATCGCAAGCAAGCTCTGTTTCGGAGGGGTCTGTCTTTACAAGCCAACCAATGACAGGACCGGAATTGTCGACGAGTGGCTTGCTTCTTCAGTTGCCCCTAATATTGCCAATACATTTGGTAACGCAGTTGCTGCAGTCCTTGGCAAGGCGTTGCTGTGGGCCTGCTTTGATCCGGCAATGCGCGCCTCTGGATTGATTTCTGAGGACGTGATGCAAGATGTTGTTGCTTCTTGGATTCAACTGAATCACAGACTTCCTGTCGCCCATAGATTGGATCCTGATGTTAATCCTATGAAGAGGGTAGAGGTGACTGCTACTGAGATGGGAGGACGAGTCCACTTTGATGAGCTTGCAGATCCGGATGATTTATTGGATGGTGGCGGAGGGGGCGGAGCCCCTGGAGCTGCTGGAGGGACTGCTCTTGGAATTCGTAGGACTCAGTTACAATGGAATCATGCCATGTTCTCTAAGCTGTTTGCTACAGCTAATGAAGTGAATGAGATTAAGAATCGACAAATTGCAGCTGAAGCAAAGTTCAATAGGAAGCTCAATCGCGCCATTGAGCTGTCCCAAAGAGCTGCAATGGCCCCCGTAGCAAGACGGCGACTTGTTCGAGCTGTTAACAGCGGTGCATCAGAAGCTGCTCGTGGTGAGAGTGGAGTAGCTGAGCTTTGCAAGTGTCCTAATGATCTTTATGTTCTCTGGAATGAATGGGAGGTCGGTGTTGGTTTTAATAAGCCTGCGAAGGAGTTCACTGCTGCTGAAAGAGGTCGTGTTAAGAGCAAGTACTGCAGGAGGTTGAAATTCTGGAGGTGCATGGAAAGACTAATCCGTGCTGGTTGTTCTTCAGAAATAGCCGTCCGAAGGATCTATTCTGTCTATGGTGGTGGTGATAGGAGAAGGAGAGTATCCTATATCCTTAGTGCAATGGCTCCCCATGAAGCAAATGGGGGTCACCACATGCTTCGTGGACCGGCGGTCGTTGGTGCTGCTTCTTAGCTAATCGTCGACGTCTCTTTGTTCTTTGTCGTGTTCCTTACTACTTGTCCCCCCCCTTATATCGAAAAAAACCATAAAAATATAGTGTACTGTGTATATGTTAACTGTATTTTGCTGTATTTTGCTATCCTCAACAAGAGGACCATGTTGATAGCTGACAGGAGGAGTGTCGATATTAGTGTTGTTATCGTGATTGTTGAGAATTACTCTCCCGACTTGGTTTTTTTCTATAGAATTTGCCTTGTGCGTGGTCGTGTGAGTACTTCTCATCAAACACGTTGATACTGTTTCACTCCGCGCACTGTGATATCTTCGTGCACCTTGTACATGTACATAGGTTATGTACTGTGTCCTACAGGGTTGATATTTTAGTTATATTTTTGTTTGGTACTTGTCCGGTAGTACCCTCAAGCCGGYAAGAAACGTATGATACCGTACACCGTACGTACCGATACGTAAAGCAGGTAAATATTTCGATCGATCGGCCCCTGCCTTCACAAATAGAGCTACTAGTGGCTAGAAGTAGAAGTACAAGGGAAAATGTTTCTACCTAGTGTATGATATGGTGCATAATATACTTACATATGTTACATATGCATTAATGTACTTTGTCGAATCACATCGAAAATCTAACGGTTGTTGTGCCGAACAATTGCAGGGAAAAATTGTTCTCAACAGAGATAGCTGCGCAACGGCTCGAATCGGGAAGAATCGGTACATGAGGTCGAAGACGATGACCATGGTCAATTGAATGTCGAAAGAAATAATATTTGTGTCTATGAAGAGCGAACACATATCCGACTCGCGCTAATAAACGAATTGAGAAATCTGATTGCCCTGCTCTCGTAATTGACCACATCCAACAGAATCATGGGAGCTTTCGGAAGCAAAGAGAGCAGCACCGCCACCCCGGGGAAAGCTGCCCGGACCAGAGGTCCTCCGCCCGCCATATCAGCAACAGATAGAGCGACACTCGACCTAAAAAATGCCAGAGACCGGCTTCAAAAATACAAGGCAAAACTCGAACGGGACGATGCCAAGATCATCGCACGAGCCAAGAAAGCAAAGGCCGACGGAAACACCAAAGCGGCACTCAACTTGTTGAAGATTCGAAAACTCAAAACGCGGGAGGTCGAGTCTGTAGAAGCACAGCTGCTCAATGTGATGCAGATGGTTCAGACAATTGATTCCAAACAAAATGAAGTCCAGGTTTTGGCGGCTATGAAAGAGGGAAAGGATACTCTTCAACGAATGCACGAAGAGATAACCGTCGACCACGTATTGGATCTGATGGACGAAATCCAGGAACAGCACGAACTCGAAAAGGAAATGAATGAAATATTGGTCGGTGCAAATGTATCTAGTCTCACCATCGAAGATGATGCGGCGATAGAGGCAGAGCTAGAGGCACTAATGGGTACTGCACCTGCAGAACAKCCGAAGGTAGAAAAACTTCCTGTCGCACCCGACACAAAACCCTTGCCAGAGGCGCCGTCCACCAAGTTGCCAGAAGTTGCATCTGCCACGCCAGTACAGGAAAAAGTAGCAGTTGCTGCATTGTAGTAYATTGCAATCAAATGATGTACCCTTTACTGCTCTTAGAGTGTTCGAAACTGATTAAACGAACAGTTTCCGAAATATTTGGTTTTGAAGGTTTTATACTTGTTGCCGTAATTTTTCAATTTACTATCATTCYCTTGTCGTACTGTGTTCTACTTACACCTTAAAACTGTGGTATAATGAGCATTCGATAGCTTGACAGCTCAAATGAGCGATCGGGCGTAAAACGTGCCATCTTGAACATTGGGGGGGTGATGGATTCTGCATCACAAGTCGCCTGACTCCATAATGATGCCCACTATTTCTTCTTCCCAATTGTATAGTACCTTATCAATCATTCGCTGGAAAGGKACAACCTGGTGGCAAAAAWTACTGATATAGTCGCACATCTAGTAAGATAGCAAACCAACTTTAGGGCGGTTCAATTCAGRTCCGTATCATGGATCACGCCATAAATTGACCTACTTTCAACAGCAACGCAATAGTGGAAAAGATAACTCTTGAATTACAGAGYATTAGTTATTGCGAGCCATTCGWTTAGAGACTATTTCCCTCTTGGCATTCAGTTCAATTTTCTCTRCTRATAATCCGAAAACTCCTTCTAAGAAAATGGATTCAAACATGATTTGGGAGTTGGGTCGGGATTCGAGGACAAGTTTCCACTGATGGTATTGCCTTTTGAAACGAATCTGTTCGCAGCCTTCCGRGCATTTTCGATACCTATCTTGCGCTTGAGCTCCTTGTCGATGGCTTGACGAATGTCCTTCACCCATTTATTGCGTTCGTCACGAGAACTGCAAAGTACTAAGAAATTCTTACGAGGGTGATAGAACTGAATGGCTCGCGTCGATTCTTCCTTTTTCATGGCTGGTGGGAACCAGTCCACTACCTTCATCATWATTAAGGGTAGCTCTTCGTGGATTCGATATTTGATCGGAGACGACGCAGAAAATTTAGCCGAGGAACGTTTGATTTTTTTGCTATAGATCAAGATGTCAGAGAACAGAAAGAATCGATATTCTACATCTTTTCCTGATCGATTAGCTCGTTTCATGATGTCCCCTTCCCTCAGAAAGCTTCGAGTTGGATCGTTCAAAAGGAATTCTGCGTTCTCGATACGACGGGTAACGTCTCTCATGATCCTGCGTCGAGCAGCATCAGCAACATGTGCTGTCTTGTTCATCCCCATCTCGTCTACCACATTGTTCAACAGTAGCAAACTTTCAATTTTTTTATTGGAAACTCTTTCCTTTCTGAKTTCTGGTTGGAATGATTCCTCTTTGTTCAAGTGGATGTTACGCTTCATTACCATGTACCACTTTTCTTTTTTATAGCTCTCRTGGTCATTAAACGATGATGCGAAGGAACGCCCACTTCCGCTTYCTTTATGCGATGTATTGAAAAGACGGAATCGGCCCAGCTGATCGAGAAAAGCACTTTGTTTGATTGGCATATCTAGCAGAATTGTCAGACAAAGAGAAAATTTCAGCAAATCGATGCAAGATTCCAAGGCTTTCGGGTCTAARTGGGCAATTTTCAGGGCGGARTTGATGAGTCCATGTACTTGGTGCCAGCTTTTCGTCATTATCGATCTTGCCAGGCATAATTTGGCTTCATCCACAGTACTTCCAACCTCAGCACTGAAATCTTTCAAAGGAAAGTATTTATACTCGTGTATCGCTAATCCACGTAATAAGGCATCCAAATTCTTTACGTTTTTGTTCATCAGGCCAATAGATTTTTTCAAAWGTGCTGTAGATCCTAGRTCTCTCAAGTCGTTATCGTCGTCGATTTGAGCATGCAGCGCAATTGGGTTRCTCTCAATACCGTCATAAATTTTTGATAAGTATTCTTTGTTAATCTCTTTGCCCTTGTTCGCCCTTTGAATGTTCGTGATAAATTCATCTTTTGTCATTTTCTTGAGCTTGTTTCTTCTTTTTCCCCCCGATAATGAATGAGATGATTTGTGAAGGTCCGTGTTCAGAATAATTATGGCAAAGGAAATCAAAAATATCGTATCTTTGTCATCAACTGGACAGTGAATTTGGTCGCCAATATTGTCTTCCCAGTAGCACCGTGCGAAGGTTGAAATCAGACGGTCAATCTGCTGAGCTTCACCTGGAAGACGGAATCCACCTTCGGTCAACAAATGGCGAAGACTTTGTGAAATATTCAAAAATTGAAGACCGATGTGAGTCTGGTGCATTGTATCCAAGTATAGCTGCAATGACTATCCATACTTACCCTTCCTCTATTGTCATTCCAACGAACGACGTTGCTCGGATATAGTTATATCGGATTTGATTYCMAAATTCCATCTCGAATTCTGAGCCACCCACTCCTAAATATTTTCCAAGGATTGAGGCATCAAAATCCGAGCAATGCACTCGAAGAAATGAAGAAATCTCTCGTGGAGAAGCCGTTAGAACATCACAAGCAATCAAATATTCGATGGCTTTCCGGAGGCCTTTCTCCTTCGATATGATTATCGCAATTCTCATTGCGTTATTTCTTTCTGGAATAGTAGCATGCGAATCAAGTGCCTTCACGTGATTGTCGTTCTTAATCTTCGTACCTCCTAGCTTATTCCAATAATTTACTACGAGGGCAGAATCGCGTCTGAAATTGCTACCGCTCATTTCACGATTCGTTTCACGGACCCTTACTTTACCATTGTTAGTGTATTTTTGTCCATAATACCAAGCTTCTGTAATAGATACAAATTCTCCACCAAGAGATTCCGCTGCACTCAATGCAAGTCCTTTGACGATTAGAGAAATAGCATCCAGAGCTCCTTGTCTTAATCGTCGTGCACTTTCCCTCGCCAGCGTATTCACACTTAACCCCTCATAACCATCATTATTATTTACGTCCTCCTTGGATAACTTCTTGATAGGAGAGAATGAGTGGCTAGCTTCAATTTTGTCCCCGAGGAATTCTGTGCAATCTTCTGAGATATTGCACAATAGAGAAAAGAGCTGCTCGGATACTTTCCATTCAAGATCTGGAAGGAACGCCTTTGCTCTTCTTCCGACTTGATGCGTGCCGTAATCAGAATCAAAGTTGAGATAAAGTTCAAGCAATCGATCTGTATCGCCGCTAAACCAATTCTTGATTTCTTTCATGAGTTCGAGCTGTTGAGCAAAGATATACGGYGTATCCTTGCTATCGTTCGATTTGAAAAGAATTTGTGGACCAAGCTTCAAAAGCTTCAGAACAAAATGGTCGAAGAGAATTCCAATCTCAAGTTTCATGTGTTTTCTGTAAAAAGGAGAGCACCACARAACTCCAACTATCTGAATAAGTCTTCGAAAAATTCGTGGATCGGACAATGCATCTGATGTGTTCGTCAATAGACATGGAACGACAAGACGTCGGATACAAAATGCAAATGATATATTTGAATGAGATCCTGCAATATCTTGCGAGTCAACTCCTCTCTCCCATTTTTCCAGGAAAAACTTGAGCATYTCCAACGACATTAGTTTGTTTGCAACGTCTCTCGGATATCCCTCGAATTTCTCATTTTTCCGAACCTTTGACGACGCATTCTTGACACAATTTGCCAAGAGAGTGAAACAAATGGCGTACATGTGTCGTGTTTGTTCGCGTAACATTGTGTCGCTACCAAACAGGCCGGATCCACATAAATTAATCATTTCATACCAAAAAAGTTCGCTTCCGCCCGATCTCATAATTTGATGCATAGCCAATTCGGTRAAGTTAGCAATRTCTACCCGGAAAACTGAATCATCCACAACCTTGTTGAGTAACGTGTCGATAAAGTTGAAATGCGGACATGTAGCATTGTTTGAATTACTGTTGGTTATCTCTTGATGAGAGCACTGATCAAAATGAACTTGAGATCCCAGTCTTGCAATCATAAATACGATCAAGTCTTTTAAAGCGAGAATGGCAGATTGAGGTGCACCACCAGGTAGTGTCCATTTGTCTCTGCTACACCGTATATCCTCAAGAAGATACTGGTCAGAAGCACTGACAATTCCCCAGTTACCTGACGGAGAACTTATACCGAAGTGAAACACAAATAGGAAGAATCGAATCACATACCCAATGCTTCTTGTGCTCAAGTATCCGCAACCGAATTTTATAGMTTCCTCAACAAATTCTACGCAAGCGTGGAGTTGGGCTTCTTGCGCCCCCATCGTTGCTACGTCACATGCGACCTGTATTGATAGATCTAGAAGGGTTGTTCGAGCTGAGGGATCTTGCGACATTTCAATATCATCCGCGTAGAAATCCTGGYGTAGTAAATCTGTTAGTCCCGTGATACTTAAGAAAGCTGACCCACCATGCTTGGTATAGCATGAGGTCAATATCGGTAACAAAATTGAAGTTCTGGCTTCAAAAGTAGTAGTAGCTTCAATGGAACCAGTTCCGCGAAAGCCTGTTGAAACCTTTGGAATAAAACTYAACGCCTCTAGGCATCTATGCAGATCCTTGTGTGCATCGAGAGTCAAAGGTTCTTTCGACTTTGACGACTCACTCATTCTCACACTTGTTCGAGTCTCTTGTGTTGTAAAAGAGGAAAAGGATCCATCAATATCTGATGATGACGTGACTGATTCAAAATCTGCAACACTAGATTGTCGATCTGAATCTGACATGATGGTTCGATGTTCGGAGATTTCAGATCCGTTTGGAAGTATATTCGACGAAGATGGTGTACTTCGCACCGAAGACGTATCTGAATAGGAATACTTCGCACCAACGATGTTGGGATGCTCTGAAATGGATTCCCAAGTTTTGCGCCGGGACAATTCGATCAGGGTCAATCGATGTTTGATCGAACTTGGACTCAGTAGCGAATGTGTGGATCTATCCATGATATGGAAACCCCCAACCTTACTTTTTACGACTGTACCTCCGGTGCAATAATATGATTCAAGACGGATGACTTTTGAATTTCCATTTAACATGGACATAACCAATGGCGGCGGACGTAATAACTCTAAATTTGCAAGTCGTTGTCTGTAGGAAAGAAAAACTGGAGCTTTGGAAGAACGGAAAGTAGCGACAAAGTTTCTGGGACTACGCTCTAAGACCGTGTACCCGTCAGGGATCAGTTCACGTCTTGAAGGAAGAAGTGGAATTATTCCAGTGAGAGGATTCCCTTCTCTGGACCTTCGGAAACAAAAATATACTGGCTCACTTCCTCCCTCGTTAAAATTAATAGGTTGTGCCGAAGATGTAGCATCCAATTTGGGAGAACGAACCAAGCTAAATCCTGGTGGAACAAACTCCTTTCGATCTGGAAATATGATTGACACCGCMGTGACGCAAGGGCGTTGCGCAGCTCGATCCCAATTTCTTTCTTTCTTCACACATAGAAAAAATGTTGCTTTCCGGTCTTCTATACGAAAAGGCTTTCCACTTAGACTCTGAGAAACTCGAAAATACCCTTTGGGTGGCTTTTCGTCGCCTCGAATAACAATAATATCGGTGATAGGGCCAGACTGAACTTGTGCATCTGCATCCTCGATATTCTGGAGACTATTCTTCAAAGTTCGACGAGAAAATGCTCGCCTCGAAGACTGATTTGAAGCATCTTTGGGAGCGAGAGGTGTCGTGGAGAGATACCTGGCATATTCAGATCCAAACATTTGGAGTCGTGGGGTGAATTYKTTTTCATCGCGTCGAGCTTCAGAAGCATCGCGTCCTTCTCGAAAATCAGAGYTCGAAGAATCACTATTCCAGGATTCTCCTTTTGATTGATGAGAATTCTTTTTATTCTTCGTTTTTTTCCAATGAAACGGTTGTGTCTTTTTCTCTGAAGAAWTGTTTTTAGTGTYTYTATGCGCGTTCTCTTTTTTCCTTCTTGAAATGTCGTGCTTGTGAGCTTGGCATGTGCGTTGCTCAAGGKTCTCGAGTGCCGATGTACAAAGTTTTGCGAGCGAAATGTGTCCTTGCTGCTTGAGGCTTACATTACTTTTGTTCTGAATCTCGGTTTCTGACCATGATTCTGTCGGTGGGGGTGGCTGCCTCATTTCCTTCGTAGCATCTCTAGTATCATTGTAATCATTGGAAGGAGGTGAATCATTCAAAGTCAACTGAACCAACAGTTTTCGAAGGAGATCACTACCTGCTTCTAAGAATGGGGAGGCTGATTCTGGCCGATCAAGCTCATCACTCCCAGGTTCAAAGCCCCCATCACTCGACGAATAAGAGAGATCATTAGCAACCGTTTTCACCATCCTGCTCATGGCAGTAGTTTTAATGATATCTTCCTCTTGGATGTAACGAATGTGAATTCATTCCCTAGCAATAAAAAATCATCGAAATTTATTGTGAATACTGAKTACGTACCGTAGTCGGGGAATACTACGATTACGATATTTCGTACCCGTATCGATCTGAGACAAAGCGGACCGACTTTTTACTGTTACGAGTGCTCAGAAGCATAGTATGAGAAATAGTACCACCAGTATGTGACTTACGGTCAACGAACGAATAGAAAAGCGGGGCGACTATCTTAAACTCACAATAATGCAATCRTTTCAATCCAATCATGTGAGTGAGTCATGAATGAATGAGAAATCAGAAATTCTATTATTTCGAAATTTTTGTCAAAAAACAGAAAAAAATTGTTTCCGTTCCCAACGATCGAGTGATGATGTACGGTAGTAGCTTACACATGCTTCGTGTTCGTACCGGCTCAAATTACGTAGGCGGCACCATAATAATACTCCCTAGCATCTCAAAAAATAATTATCGGTGACAACAACAGTGAAACGGAAACTCTCTCACCACCATAATTAAAAAGGCAATAGATCCTTTAGCGACATTTAAACAGTAAGTAAGATTGTTCATCTACCTCAAACTAATCTTCTGTTCATGAATACATTTTCGTGATGAGTTTGACTGAATATGTCCCCTTAAAGAAGAATAGAGAGATTTTAGGATCTTAGCTTCACTCTCGCTAAGACTTGCTTTTGTCTCTCGTAGCCCAAACTTTATATCCTCCACGCCCATTTCAATCTTCTCGTCATCATTGATTGTAGCCTCTCCTGCCAAAAAACGATGAACAGCATTTAAATGCGCGGTATCAAAAGCAGCACGAATATCTGCTGGGCAGAGTCTCGGTACATCATTTGCCATCTTTGGAATTTCTTCTCCATCCATTAAAGCGTCTAAAGTTTCGGGTTTAAGGTTCCACTGYTTCGAAATCTTTATGAAGAGATCAGACCAYTCCTTCGTGCTTTCTGGGGGCCCGACATAAAGGTGTTGTTCGAGTCGCCCAGGGCGTATGATTGCTGGATCGACTTTGTCCGGACGAGAAGTAGCTCCAACAATGAACACGGTGCCAGATGAAACATTTTCTACGCCATCCAAAAACGTGAGCAATTGGTTCACCACACGGTCGGTAACCCCCGTAGAATCGGAGCCACGACGTGGCGCTAACGCTTCCAATTCATCCAGAAATAATATCGAAGGAGCCATCTGTGATGCCCTTTCAAACAATTCTCGAACTTTCGCCTCAGAAGCGCCAATGTACTTATCAAGTACCTCTGGACCTTTACAAGTTACGAGGGGATAGTTGCATTCTCTAGCGAGTGCAGGAACTAGATAGGATTTCCCACAACCAGGTGGTCCGTAGCTATWTGTTTCGACAACAGAGTTTGAGAGACAACAAGTTCGTACATGGTAAGGTGAGCGGAATTGGAAAAATCCGTACAAAAKATGACAATGTTTCCAGATTTTTTACAGCTTACAGGAGAATTCCTCTCGGTAGTTCTATTCGTGCCCTGGAATAGATATGATGATATAGTATCGGGTGGCGGACTGTCGCCTCTAACTTTTCTTTTACATGAAAAAGACCCCCAATATCTGACCAAAGGGTATGATTAGAATCATCAGGTCCAGAGTTGGATATTCGTGCTATCGGTGTGAAATCATCAAGCTCCGCTACGAAAGAATCTGTTAGTGATCCGATGCGCGGATTCATTATATATGATCTAATTGCTCGTAGGCAAAGCTTTTCAAAGTCGCGTGGAATGAATCCTTCAGTGCGCCCAGATATCTTCGAGTTGTCAAATATCTTTCGTATCCGAGGATGATATCGACGTATCATTGCCATTACCAAATCTCCTTGATCTTCTGGTTTCATGTGCGGTACTTTGGCATGGATGATAGGAAATTGAGATGATTGAAGAATTGAACTGTTCATCGAATCTTCCCTTAAGCAAGTAGCAATCAAGGAAAGGTGGCAATGTTTACTTTTAATGCCYTCAATGTATGCAGCTTCGCATAAATGCGAAAGTCTGTCCGCAATCAGCTTAGACTGATCAATGGCTGCTGGGTTCACRGCATGGGTGCCCTCGGAAACGATGTTTTCGTCGCCAATGAAGAGATTTGGAGAAAGGACATCAATATCATCCAATACAATAATTGCGTTCCTTTCTTCTCTTGCTTGCGCAAATACAGAATCAAGTTCTTTCAGAATCTCACTCATCCTTGGTTTTGATTTTTGCAGTTTTCTGCAATCTAAGTAAAATGTAGGTCGATGGAAGTAGAAACTCATCAATGCGCTAAGAAATAGGGCGTGGTGGGTCTTTCCRCTTCCGTTCACTCCACAAAGTGTCACAAATGTAGTAGTAAAGTATTTCACGCGATCGATTATTGGTGTTAACCAATTTGACGAAACAATCGTCTCACGTGGTATCTGAGCTTGAGGCGTTTGACGAGAAGAAATTGAAAGAGAAGAAAATTCAGTGCTTCTTGCTARGAGTCTCTTTGACAGAAGCGAAAAGTCATCAGTGTTCAGTTGTACAATGCATCCTTCGTCACGATCATCAGCCTCTTCTGACGTTATACGAAACCACTGATCTGAAAAGTCAATGTTATCGCTTGTAACGTGCGTAGAGGGTATTGGAATCACTGCGCCGACCGGCAACACGTGTTGAGTATTTTGGCAAAGCCAATCTGGGTAACRCATTTCGTGATATGTTGCCAAATCAATATCTGCAACGTTCCACGCTGGTACCTCTATTTTATTATACTGGAGATGTAATRTCTCAAGTGTAATACTCTCCATTGATACTTCTCGGGTGGACATCAGAGGCCTAAGGCAAACCCGATCTTTAAAAAGTGTTRYCCGAAGGTCCAAACGAGTGCCGATAAAAAGTACTACAATTTTGACAGTGCAGAGCCGAGGCATCAAAAACGTAAGAAAGAATTTTATCCGGTACGAATCAAAGCTTGATATTACACAGTGTTTAAGTGTGACAAGATGATTTAATTGTCATAGCCATGATTGCGTAGCGCGTCAGTCACAACTGTGCAATGAGACCTTCTCTCGTAGAGAWTTAGTTGTGTTCGTCTTCTTCTAACCAATGAAACGTCTATTGACAATGATACTAGAACSATAGTCCGACTTACCTGCATTGTTTTGCGGTATTCGAGAAGAAGTGGTAACTCCCACCAGGCGTGTGTCGTTTGCGTGACATTCATCTACCTTCAACTGTGCCCATTTTGTTTCGAAGGGCCATTGATTGCAGTGAACAAGCACAAAGCCCGGCTCAACATGGAAAGATTCTGTTTCGGTCAACTTTGAMAASTTATCATACGAAGCACCCCAATCTGAATCTGAGGGAATCAATCGAAGAGGTTTTGACCACGAAACCATTTTCTTTCTCAAACGAGTTTTAGGAGAGACGATGACTTCAGTGTCCTGAATTAGCAGTGCGCATCTCTGTGATATACKTTGTTCCTTAGAAAAGACTCTACTCCGGTTGTCAGACACAAAGCTGTCTGAAGAAACCGAAGGCAAATTTGGTTTCAAGGATCTTCCTGTAGCGAATTCTTTCACTGTGACTTTTACACGATCGATTCCGCCTATCCTCAAAGTTAAGAGTTGGTTTGGATAGACTACACTGACTTGCCTTAAAAGTCCACCGTTTTCCATAAAACCACTATAAATCTCTAGAAGTTCCCAATCTTCCACGTTCGCTGGCTCGACATGCACACTCGCGGCGTATTCAATGTTTGAGAGAGAATGAACCGAGACATATTCTGGGACATCTTTGAATCTATCCGATACTATAGATCGAGGGAGCTCAATTGACTCTTGTCATTCGTAAGACGAAGTTGAGAAAATAGAGTAGCATCAAGTTGCAGGTGATTATCGAAAAAAACTTTTGAGCTAATTTCTGATCCATGAATGAACGCAACAGCATCACTTTTTCCAATCAAAGGTTTTACTAATTGAATTCTATTRCAATCTTAATAAAAACAAACATACCTTGTTCCGAGGAAAGCCCACAAGTTCCTCCATTGTATGACGCATAAATGACCGTGCTATTTCCATCCGATATTGAAAGAGGCAAAAACGATATGGAAMCATTTACATCTTCGTCGAGATGAGTCCATCCATTCGGTCGTCGTACCGGATACCCCGAAAACGACTCCTCTTCTGAGCAGTGTATTCTTCTGAGCAAATCGTGCGCCAATCCGGGTGACAAGCGAGCAAATAAATTGTCGCTGCATGCTTCTTCTCTAATGATCAACCTTACTTTTCTGGGAAAATGCGACGGACAATCTAGTCGCGACGAACAATTGCTATCGCTCCTACGGATTGACATGTCTACTCTTGTTGAGGGATTCTTCACGGTTGAAAATCAAACATCTTAGTCGACCGAACCTTGCAGCTGTGAAAACGATAAACTGRAACGATACTCAACTTGTTTGATTCAAATCATCGAAAACGTCCATTCAGTCGACGCTACTTCGGTTGTACCGGTAGATGGATTCATCGTTTTCCGCGAGTAATCTCCTGCTGCTGTACCAGTACCATAGTAGCAATAGTACACATGCATTCGTATTGGAAGCTACCAAAACTAAATTTGTCATGAGAAAAATAATGACTACTAGTAGTAGTACTACTACCTAGTAGTAATCGCAGCATTACTACTACTACTAGTAGTATGACTAGTAGTAGTACTACTAGTAGTACCACCACCACCAGTAAAACTACTACTACTACTACAAGTAGTAGTACTACTACTAGTAACAGTAAAACACTATTTCTTCTTGTTGTTACTTCTTCTTGTTCTTTCTAGTGCTTATACTAGTACTAGTAGTAGTACTACTAGTAGTAGCAGAATACCGGAGTTACTTCTAGTAATACTACTACTACTAGGTACTACTATAAGTATTGATTGATACTACTACTAGTAGTAGTAGTCACTCTCAACAGTACTACTAGTGTCATGGAATGTGAGTAACAATCATGCACGGAAGAACAACAAGAAAAACAAGATCCATTGAGGAAATATTGTGTGGTTACTCTGTATTAAATGTTATAATACTAGTTCATCAAGCATCTGTGCTGATAACACTAGTACTAGCAGTATCACTAGAGAATACATTAAGAAGTACTTCCCACTTTTTTGTCTTTCTTGTTTTGTTCCTCTTTTGCCAAGGAAGAGGCAACAGATGGTCTGGTAGCCGGTAGCCGGTAGCCGGTAGCAATAGCAGTAGTAGTAATCTAAGAACAGCTTGCGTTTAATAATGAACAGGAAGTCCAGTAAGAACTTGGACGTCATTGTGACAACACAGTTTCTAGCATGCACCATCAGTACACTATGGCTGATGAGTAGGTGATGTTTCATCTTCGTTGCCGGAAATTGTCACGATAAACTTGACATTCACTTTCATCATTGATGTTTGTAATGGGAGACACAGAAGTGGGCATTACGGAGCAATCCTTGTCTSTRATGAATTCCTGTTTGTCGCTCCGAGTTGCAAAACTTATGAGGTATGAAATRATCAGGGAATTGTCGTTAGCCTCTCGATGTTGATTGGAAGTGTGATGGCAAAACCAGTTGCGTTGAAACTAAAGTTTTAGAATGCAACCGTCTCTTTTTTCAATGCAGTATCACTTTAATGGCATCATGRGTCATTCTCTAAGGAGACTTCTTGCATACTTATTGACTGCAATCCATCATCTCCTCTGCTTTGTTCTCGGTTTGGGTCATTCTCATCCTTACTGTCGACTTGTGTTTGTCCGATGTTAACAAGTACAAATCCGAATAAAACAAATGCAGCGCCCAAAATTGATTCCAAGTTCAAAACATCTTCCTCTCCAAGGAAAAYGTCACTGGCAAAAGCCAACGGGATGGTAAGGCCTAAACCGACGGTAGCAACRGTGGCCGACGTCAGTACTACAGATCGTGCCCACAAATAATCGCTGATAACGTTATTGAATAAACCATTGATGACAACGCATGAAAGTACCCAAGAGGATACCGTCACACTTTTTGCAATTCCGAGTTGATAAATTGCAATAGGAGACAACGCTACCATGTTCCACAAACCGACGTAACCTAAGAACAATTGCATGCTCATTAAGGACTCATCTCTGGGACATATGACCCTTATCATCACAGCGTAAACCCCATAGAAAAGAGCTGAGATTACAGAAAGTATATCTCCCCAGAGATGAAGATCATCGCTATCGTCGCCTGCGACAGTGCCTCTACTATCGTCGTCAACCACTATACCCGACAAAAAGCGCAYTCGCCTGACGTTTCCATCTTCTCCTTCCCTTGCGTCGTGCCGTGCAGTTAATATGCAACCAGTCATACCAAATAGAACACCCAAAAGTTTCCAACAGGAGAAGCGTTCGTCTTTCATAAACAAGGCGATCAAGAAAGTAAAAAGACTCCCCGTGTTCACCAAAACCGTGCTGGACGTGATGGAAGTATGCTCAAGACTCGCATTGTATGCATAGTTGGATATGAACCAAAATGGGGATAGTTTTGCGGCAGCAATCATGTGGTCTTTACCCGTCCAATGATTCTCACTTTGGTTGGCACTGCTTTGTTCTTCGGCGTTATTGTCRCCGCCGGGATTGGCGATTCTCGTGATGTCGGCATCAAAATTTCCTTGTCGTGGCTCTTCCCTTGTTGGGATGCTTTCGTAATTTGAATCGCCACTGCAAGTGGATTGCCAAGTGATCAACCGATTGTACAACCAATTCAGCGGAAGTTGTACTACGAAGAGAGACGTGCCGATATATGTCAAAAGAAAGGGAGCATCGAAGCTTTGACTGTACAAATACTGTACGACAATGCTTGCGACACTCCAAATTACAGCCACCAAAAAGATAAAGACCAATCCCAGTGCATACGATGACATGTTGGCTAGCGACATGGTTTGGATCTTGGTTACGGYTGTGGGCAAAAGGAAAATACCATACCGTACTCCCCACCTAATGGAGTTATCGATGGGGGAATCGTTTGTTAGAAGTACCGGACAGGTATCGTACTTYGGTAGAACTTCGCGAAGTCTATTTTTTGTTCCTTTTTCCTTTTGAAGTGTAACAGAGTACTACGGTAACTGTTACTGTAGTCAAGCTCATACAAGTTCCTTACCTGTACGTACCAAGTACCGGTACGTCCTGTAAAGCATGGGCGTACAGCACGGTTCCAGTGGTATCGAACTCGACTGGCACGGCCGGCCCCTCGTGCCTGTCGGAGTGAGTCGTTTGATGCAAATCAAATTTGATTCGTGTGAGTCAAAATGTGAATCGATTGTTCGTGAATGATAAATGTCAGATATTGTTCATCGCATTAAAGTAAAGTACATTCGAACGGCACGGTAGTACCTGGTACATTCATCGCTCACAAAAAAGTAATGTAATTTTACTTGTGCGAAGTCTCACACTGTACGGTACTACTGTACTCATTATGACTTTTTTCAAACAGGCCCTCAAGTTTCATAGCAGTAGTGGTAACTCGTACTAGTTACGAAGTACTTCGGGTATAAGTAGAAGTAGAAGTAATGTACTGTACTGTACTGTACTGTACTAGTTAATGCCAGGTGTTGTGCTCGTGACAACGATCCGAAATCTCACATTTCGCTTTCGGTATCGTTTTCCCAACTGAATCTCATATCTGGATAAAGTAGCGCAAGCGTTTGTGACCCGAGCGATAAGGAAAGATCCGCTCCTTTGGTTTATCAGAGAATACCAGGTTGTGAAAAAGTGAAATTGATTTTCRGTGCTGCTCCAGAGGAGACGATCGTTTGCTAAGCTGGCGTAAACACGGACAGGGACATTTCATTGAACTGTATCTGCTGGTGAAACAACASGGTGGCCGCGTAATAGCAAACCTATTGAGACACTGTTAGCTTTCTAGAACCCATCGTAYAAGGAAGGATGTCGTCTTCAGCCGGATCAACCGGCGGGAGAAAACCCTCTAGAGGTGGCAATAGCCCAGGGGGACGCGGACGAGGTAGAGGCGGACGACGCGGAGGTAGAGGAAGGTCGAATAATWCGAACCGACGTTCGAACAATTCGTCAAATCAATCCCGGAGCACAGGAAATTCCTTAAATGGTCCGAGTAGGAATAGCAACAAGAAKGAATCTACGAGGCTTCCGGAGATGAGGGATGAGGTATGTTGGCAATTGAGAGGGACAACTGCCATTGTTTGTTGACGGCTATTATGAAAAGCTGAGAAATATGTGTGTYCGTGTTTTTGCGAAAATAGTTTCTTTCTGACCCTCACCCATCAACTTTTTCTCCGAAATTTCCGACTCATTTCTATCGTTATTGTTTGGCGGTCGGTCGTCCATCCGAAGGAGGTTTTGATCGCTTTCATGCCATACATGAGAGGTGACAACCAAATAGCTATGTCGATACACGAGACATATCAATCGGGGCGTGACCAACAAGCATTTTTACAAGCTGCGCGTCAATTTCTATTTCAAGAGCAATCAAGGTCGAAAGGGAGACATGCTTCTACTTTGTCTACATCTCCACAGCCATCTTTGATTTCGGGTCCTAATTCTGCGCCTCTTCCCATGCCTACAACTACACCAGTCGTCACAAATTCTCAAACTGCTAAATCCCCAATTGATAAAATGAATGCTCCTGCCTTTTCCAATGGACAATTGCGTACAAATGAAACACTACCACCRCAGATGAATTCGCCGCTTCCTCATGGCGTTCATAACACAAGCCAGCAGCTACATTATCAAGTCGGGCAAAACCATCTACAACAGCAGCAACCGCAACAGCACCATGTAAATCAGCAACATCATTTACAACAATTACAGCCCGGAGAAGGATCGCCCAGCATGCACATATTGGAACGGAAAATGGCGAAACTACTTTCGGACGATGACGATATTGTTACGATGCCCTCTCCGCCGTTGAATAATAATACTGCTAGTACGATTGGTCCCTCCGTGAACGCTTTTCATTCAAGTGGATCGAAGAGTACACTTCCTCCTCCTCACTCCCAACTATTTAATCCATTGCAACATCAGAATTCTGTGACAAGTCAACAGCAGAATTATCGGCAGCAACAGCTATCTCCRCCATTTCAACAAGTATCAAAGCCGCCAAGTCAACGACTGCCACACGGTGTTCCAGGAGCAATRCCACAAATTGCCCCGGACATTTTGTCCTCTTTATTTAGCAACACGGTGAAAACGAATAGTGACAATCGTACCCCACTCTATTCCACTCAACAACCAATCAATCAGTTTCAAAATAACACAGCTCCTGTGTACAGTGGAAACAATACCGCGTCCTGGTCCTCTTCTATCCAGMCTTCTGCTTCTCCAATCACTTCATCTGCGATTGAAATTCAATCCAAAGCGACCACGAACAGGTCRGTAATCCCTCAGTCTCCGAAGCAAACACCATTGGAGACRCCCACAAAAAGAATAACGTCTACGAAACTAGGGCCTCAAGCRACACCTAACAAAACTCACAAACCGGAATTTCAACCCAAGCGATTGTGGACACACCTAGAAGAGCAACCCGGAAAACTTCTTGTAAACGACGTATCGGCATCTGTCGGCACGGTTGTAAACCTACGCCCAAGGCAAGAGTTGACCGCCCGATGGATATTACCTTTGAGTTATTTGAGAGAGAGAAATACAGGGAAAAAAATTACATCACCTCGAGATCTTTTAAAAGGCTTGACGGTGGGACTTTTTCGACGCGGATGCACAGAAAATGGTGTCCAGGCATCCATCGTCTCAAAGGAAATATTGCGTCCGAAGGGCCAGTCGCGTGACGATTACCCCTTTCAAGTCATCGACGACGTGATCGTTGGGACTGCGCCATTCTACTCGCCGCGAACACCCGGTCACGTTGTCTTTCGTTTGTACTGGCGAGGAAATCATTTGCATACCTTAGCAACGGGACCCACTCTCAATGTTCGCATCACGGAGAACGATTTTGAACCATCCATCCGTTTTATACTATCTAATTTTAAGGGAAAGAAGGTCAACCCAACGAGCCTTTCTTCGTTGAATTCACTTGCTCTTGTTTTGGAGCAATTTCAAATTTCCACTAATAAGTCGGGTTTTTTGGTCCAGCATCATTTTGAAAGCGCTGGACGAGCCGTTTGGGGCTGCGTGTGCGAGTCGCGAAAGGTTCTTGACGCATGTTCCGTTGATTACCAGAAGACTACGATCAAACTTGAAAAACTTGAGGAAACAGTGGAAGAGTTGAAAGAAAAGGTCGCAGAGGAAGAACAAGAAGAAAAAGAGGAAAAGGGTGATGCTGATGATGAAKCGACGCAGAAATCTTGTGACACAGTAGATATYCCACTCAATGTAGCTCTCTTGAGAGAGAAAACGAAGTCGTTGATGAGCGGACGGGCATCTTGTGAACGGAAATGGAGAGATTCCCAACTTGCCTTTGCTTCAATTTTAAAGGCGATAGTGACGAACCCTTCTGTCACTATGCTGCTACGACGTGACTTGATAACGAAACTTCGCTTGGAGTTTGAGCTTTGGTGTCCTCTCTGCGAAGAATTCGCCATGTTAGGGGATTCTGGTCAACAGATGTGGTATGAACCGCTTACTAGATTCTCTCAACCAATCACAAATGATCACTTCAAAGTTTGTACCGATGCCAGATCCAAAATGCAAATTAGAATCCTAGGTTTCGACCCGAACACGACACGGCTTGACAGCATACTSTATACAGCTAATCGTGATGGGACCCGCCAGATGAATGCTGGTGCAGTAAACTGCTTCAATTGCCTTTCAAGTTCCATGGGTCAATTATACCAAGATGTGTACTTCACTGCAGACTCAATTTTACAGCAGAGGGAGGCGATTCGTTCGAAAGTAGAAAGACTTGTCGGTATGTGCGATTGCTTTCCTCCAGGCACGAAGGTTGCAATTTTTGGTTCTTCTGCGAATGGATTCGGTTCACCCAAGTCGGACTTAGATATGTGTCTTCAAGTTCCAAGTCACTTGTTGGTAATGAAAAGCGGTGATGCAAAAGGTGCAGAAGCTATGGCCACTTTAGCAAAAATATTTGAGGAGAACAATATGGTCGATGTTGATACATCACGTTTGGGGGCAAGAATTCCTGTCATTAAATTCAATTGCCCTAGAGAAAACTGTGGTAATGAAAACAAAGGACTCGTGGAATGTGACCTATCWATGCACAATCCTCTTGCCGTATTGAATACGTCATTGCTGCGTTCTTATGCGGAGATCAACCCCGTGTCTCGCGTCATGGCATCTGTAATCAAACGGTGGGCRAAAGCTCGTGATATCAACGATCCAGCTCGGCATACACTGAGTAGCTATGGATACATTCTAATGCTTTTGCACTTTCTAACATACCACAAGCGATCTGGWGATGGCTTGGTCTCGCCGGTGGGAAAATTATCACGTGATAATCAAGCGATCCCATTGCTTCCTAACTTACAGTGGATGAACCCCAAGTGGCCTGATTCTTCTCGAGAAGCCCCTTACACTGAACTAAATGAACTTCCGAAGCAGCTAATGCAGCACCCAAGAGAAGAAAACGTTAAGGTTAACTCCTATTTTTATCGACTGGGCCGAGCAAATTTGGAAAACTTACAACAGCGCTTCCCAGGTCAAGATCTCTCCCTTGCGATTCTCCTTGCATCCTTCTTTCGATATTATGCCTACGATTTCGATTACAAACGCCATGTTGTTAGTTTAAACTCAACAAGCAGACATGGCATTGTTGAACGTGAGGTGAAAGCAGAACTAGATGGATGGCGCAACTATAGTGCAGCTCTTACCATCGAAGATCCATTCGAAACCTTTTATGACGTTGCTCATGTTCTTCGTGGCGGCTACTAYCATCGAATCCGCCGAGAGTTTGCTGTTGCGTATTCGAAAATTGCAGACGTGGCAATGGGCAAAACTAGCAGTTCATGTAACAACAGGGTTGTAGATCTSACCACGATGACAGGCATGGACCTAATTGATTGGATTTGTGAGCCCGTATCAACCGAACGAGAGGAGGGGCAGTTAACCGAAAAATAGATTCCTAAATATATTCCACGAAGGCGAACAATTTATTTCTAATTCGATGTGCAGCACGACAGCAATTGGAAAACCGCGATCGCACCTCTCCAAAAAATAACACAGAAAAATCACTGAGTGATACCAAARTCGCGACTCGATGAAAGCTACGGCAAGTATCTATTGAGTGATTGCAAAGGTTTCACTATTTACTCTTCCGCTACTGATGATATGAATTGGGTCGTGCTGCCCCTTGTCATCAGTTCATATATGCGAGGGGGRAATGCATCATCATAAATTAAAAAAATTATATGCGAAAGTGTAAGATCATGATGTGAAGGAGTCTGCAGGGTCATTGCGAAGCTGCAATTTGTCRGGAACCATGTCGATTTCAATTTTTGAGGAAAAATTTAGATTACCAGCCCCCCTTCCTCGTAAGGAACATTGTGATCAGTTTTGATCACAAAAAAATGTGATCAGAAATAACAAAGTTGTGATCGTTTTTTTGGCGATCAATCTTGATCACAAATTTTGACCCGTTTGCGTAGAATTGGTACTAGTCCCGTATTATATTAGAATTTAATATCTGAATATAAATAATACTTACCTTCATTCCCAATTAAATGTACCAATGACCCTTTTTTGCTGTTCCTAAAGAGTGTCCTTGAGTTTAATTAACACTCATGAATAGTTTTATTTAACCCTGAATTGAATATGATTGAATATGACTTTGTAGAAAGCGTAGAATCAGTACTACAAAGTGGAAATGAGCATGCACGTGATTAAAAATTATTCTCACACATAAAATTACACATACTATTAACACAGCAAATGAAATTTTGACAAACAAGAAATGACMGCACAGGAACCTTTTCAATAATTAAGATRAGAATATCGTGATAAAGCTCTCATTTCTGGCTTTCTATRGCTGTTGGTGGCGTCRTTAAATGACCAGCAGGACCCTTTCAACTGGTAAAATGAAAATCATATGCCAAAAAATGCCCTCTGTAAGTAAATGCCCCACGKATGTCAGAGGCATTCAATTAATAGTGTGGTCTATATACTTGTWTRCATTTATAATAGAYCTGTTGAACAAAAAAAGAAGCATTCCAATCGCCCAAAYAATGACCTTATTTCTTCAGCAGTAGTAAAGGTGCAAAAGGGAAAGAATTTAATTGGGAACGGATGAAGTAGTATCAGTCCTGTATGTACATACAGTATAATGGCTTCATAATGATACCAACAGTTGTGCTACTACTACTACTATGTAAAATAAATAAATATTTATTTATGGTGTATATATTATATTAATTGTAATCCAGCATCCTGCGACTAATATATATAGTAAATATATATAGTAAAATCTTTTACTGCTGCTGGTTTCCTCTTGCTTTTTAGTTCAGAGATGACAAGAATGGCAAACCTTGCTACTAGTATCTCCTTAAAAGATATGCTGCAGAACAATCACTGTTAGAATGCCACTGCTAATTCTAGAAGCAGCAGTATTCTCACCATGCTGGATGTGGTGTTGTTCTAGTCAGATATAGGCTCTCCTTTTCCGTGCTCTGAGCCACAACCTTGTGGCTTAGTAGGGGCACTCCTGATATTCATTCTTATTGGATTTCTTCACTTGTGTATCAGGTTGTACCCTCCTTCCTTCAAATTTTGCTACAGTATAGTTGCCTGTTGTAGTCCTACCTGACAAGCTCCTATTTTGACCCTCTTGGTCTGTTTACACTGCTACTACCTGCTACTTCTTGTTCAGTTTGCTGCCAATATACTGCTAGTAGTACATTGCTATCATGCCTTAACTGAAATAGGAACATCTATCACAGAATAGTAATACCATTTGTAGAATTATTAGTATACATAATCAACTGCTGGTGCTAGTGACTACATTGTTGTTACTAGTACCAGTAAATATTTCCATTAAAKGCATTTTTTATTAATTATATCATACTGTAAAAAAAAGTTTTGAGAAGAGGTTATGAACCATAAGTCTATTTTGTAATGGGATTAGGGGCAATCCCAACCCCAAGGTATTTGTTGCTCCCTGTCAAACATACCTGCATGAGGAAACTTATCAAGGTTGGTATCTCCTTCAAAGTCACCCAGCTGATCAAGCACCAATTAAACTTCATCTCA